CTTTATCTATAACAAGTAAAGCAATTGTTACAATACCTAATAATTTACAAAAAATTGATGTATTATTCAATTGTGAATTAATAGCTTTATAAAAGAAGTATTTATATATATTTATTATATTAAATAGATACAAATTTTATTATTGATAGTTATAAATTATCAACTGGTAAATTAAATTTACAAGTAATGATTAATGAACGAATGATACATAAAGCTTTTATACGTAGAGTTTTAAAATGGTAACGATTTATCAAACAAATGTTGAATCAAAAATACTTTAATTCAATCAAATATTGCAAGTAATATATGTGCTTATTTGATTAATAATAATAAAATAATTATTCAAATACGTAAATGATAAAAAAGGCAAGATTATTAGAAAAATCAGTTAGAAATTTGTGCTTAAATAGAAAAATTTTCAGAATATCCAGGTATTTATTTATTATATTATTAATTTAATAATTTTTTATTACTAATAATTTTTTTATACTTTTAGATCAATTAGTAATTGCAAATATAACTCCTTTATTTTCTCTTATTACTAATTCATTTGTTATTATTATTTTTGGTATTCAATTATATATAGCAAAAATAATCATAATGTATGAACAAAAAGATAGATTTCATTTTTATATAACTCAACCTGTAACCAATATTCAAGAATTGCCATATGTATCTTTACAAGTATATACACATATTCAAGGTCATATTTTTACAGATTTTATAATAGATGAATTTAGTAATAATTTTTTTCTTTTTTCATATTGTAATCCAAAGTATATTATTTATAATATTAGAATAACTAATGTGCAATTAGAAGAAACTATTCTTTTTTTAAAAGGAATAGCTAAAACTATATTTTCAAATCTTAATGATATTAAAGTTCATAATATTATAGCCAACTTTTAATTATAAATATAATAAATTCAAATTCAATAAAATTAATATTATAGGTTATATTTATATTATTTTATTGATTTTAATATGTTATAATTTAAATTTGTGTCAGTATCTTAATAAAAAAATGTATAATAATCATATAAAAAATTTTATTTGGCACATGACTTATCTTAAAAGTTTCCAGGATCCTGAATTAGAGTAGAATTAGAATTAGTTTAAGGGGTTAGCAAATTTTTCATATTACGTTACATTCTAGCTATTTTTCAATTTACTAAGTATTCTGAGGACTTAGAAATTATTTTGAGAAGAAAATGCTAATTGTCACAATTGTTACAATTATATATTACCCTAATAAGTATATGTGACCTGGCAAATAAAATCCAATTACCATTTTTTGGTGATGATGTTAGGGCTGTTGATAAATTTAAATATATCACGTGATAGTTCATTATATCAAATATATAGTTTAATATATCTGTTCAAATATAATAGGTTCAGATGCAGTATATAATACTTTATTATTTAAATTCAGTATATCTAGCGTAATTAATATAAAAAATTCAGTTCTATAACATATAGTTCAGTATAATAAGATTTCAGTATAAGCAGATTCGTTATATTCAGAGTCGATTGTATATCATTTTAAAGGTAATAAAATACTATCTAAATAATTTTGAATTAAAAGAAATTGATCAAGACTAATTCTTTTTAGTATAGGAATATTCTCTAGTTGTGTTGTCTTATATATCAGCATAGAAAATATTATTATAACATATCAATTAGGATGATATCTGTATTCAAATACTATTGATTCAGGATCATGTTTATGTAAAAGATTAAGTATAAAGAATAAGTACTAACTCAGAAAAAGTGATAGCAAATCAACTCTTTATTGATTAATTAAAGGCAGATACACAGATATATACCTTTGTCAAGTAATACTACATAATGTTCTATACTTTAGATTTTAGTGGCATGTACATTCCATATTTTAAGGATTGTTTCTTGTAAAATGATTCTAACCAATGATCCAAAAAGAGTCTGTCATATATCTTATTCCTGTTTCCTAATTTCAGCACCTAATTCTTCATTATCCTTATCAGTCTATGAAAAATTGAAATATTAATCATAAATCAACTATAAATTCACCATCTATCTTTTAATTTAAATACGATCTGTTAATATGTATTTTTACCTCTATCAAATGTTACCATTCTGTAACTCAAAAAATATCATAATATATGAATTGGTTCATTTGTACTCTTTGTTTTTCAAACATTACAGGTATTAGAAATTTATGAAGAATATAATCTACTTGACTGAAAATCTGCTGCTTAACATTGACATACTAATCGTATGTAAAACATTTTGTTCAATCTTAAACTTTTTGAGATGCTAATCATTTTTTATACAATCCTTAATACCATATAATAAATTACATAGTGATGTAGCATAATTCACCTTATTATAAATATACCTATTAATCAATTCAATCTTTTGGATACTTTGTATATCAGCTGTAAAATGTTTATATATCTAAGATATTACCTATGATTTCTTAGTAGTATAAAGTGTATTGAACAAATATTTTATTGTTGCAGAGTATTGGTCAACTAATTTTTTTCATCTATATTCAAATAGGTCTTCATATAAAGAATTTTAGCATACATAAAATTTACAATAAAATTTCTCAAATTGATTACATAATTTTTCTTTGAGCTTTTTTCAAAGGTTCAAATCAATGTGAAAAATACATAGCATGTGTTAGGTATTAGAATAAATATCTTTAATCAATTAAGCCATAAAAGGATCTAAATCAGTAAAGATAATCCTAGGGGAATTTTTCATTTTGGTAAGTATATTTTTAAATATTTATCTATAAATATCTAATTTTTTATTTTTAATGATAGCACATGCTACAATTCAAGTTCTGTAATTATTATCAATTACAGCTATGATATAAAGCATCATCTAGAATCAATTTGTATTATAGGTAGTGTCAACTATTATAATATCATTGTATTTACTATACAACTTTCTTTATATAAAAGACATTCATAAAAGAGAAACTAGTTTTCTCAAAACTGGATCCAATTGAAGCTTTACAATCCAAAGTGGATCTGAATTCTTCTATACTAACAATTGTTAAATCATCTTAAAAACATCTGTATCTCTAGGATTATTATTTTGCCAAAACTGATAAACTACGTTATATAAATTATACTTAAAAATAGATTAATCAAGATAGTTATGTCTAAGTAATAGGAAGATAGATCCTGAGTCTATCCATCCTCGAATGACATATTTTTTTATATCAGCTAACATTTTAGCTGTCAACTTTTAAAACTATAAGGCTATTTCACAGATTATTAGAATAAGTAGGTGATTATGCTTGTTATTAAATGAGTTGATTTTTACAGTTTTATTTGTCTTCAAACAAGTAATATCAAGTTTTCAAGAACATTATGTCTATTGAGAATGAGTATTACACTGTTTAGTTAGATCTGATAAAACTTATGAAATATGTAAACCAGATTTGATACATTTGTAAATTATTCTTCATATCACACCTTAAACTGTTTTGCTTATTCTAATCTTATAGCTAAACCCTTTTTTAATGCAAAACTTTAGATCCAATCTTTAAATTTGTCCTAGTTGGTAAATGTAAGTTCAGAGATCAACTTCAAAAATTCAAGTGGATCATTTAATCTATCTAACTCAATATCATATAAGATATCATTGATAGTTAGCAAATTTGACTCAAACTTCTATTAAAAAACACAAAATTAGATCATTTTATTAGATAACAAATATTAATAAAGTTTCAATACAAGTTGGATAAAAAATCAAAATAAATTAAGCAGACCTGTTATGAAGTTAGAGTAGTAGCATCATAAGAAGGATTTTCATAATCTATATTAAACTTCTTATAGAAGAATGAATTTGAAAGAGAAGATAATGTAAATGTGAAATTCTAATAAAAATGGCCAAGTAAGTAAAAAAAGATTTATTGATTAACATAGCTACATTAAATCACAGATTCATTATACGTCACATGATTATTGTGTTTAAATATATAAACATGTGAAATGCATATAATAATATATCATGTGACATTATACTAATTTTTAAAAAAGAAAATTTTTATCTAAGTTAGATTCATAAAATATATCATACAGATTTTCTTTTTTGAAAATTTGTATAATATAGTGTTTAAACACTATGTGTAAACTAAGATATTTTCTATAAAATTTTATATTACGTAATATAAATAAATTATGTAATTAAAAATCATTATAGTGACAAAGTTGCTAAATAATAATACTTTTTTAAGAATATCATAATTTTTAAAATAATTTTAAGAAAAATTTTAGATTACTTTAATCTAAAATATGAATTGAATTTTTTAATATACAATGCTAGAGAAATTTTCTTCTCTAATTATTGAATATAATATAAATAATATAATAAAAATAGTAATAAAAAAAAATACATTATATATAATATTTACTTTTTTCTTTTTTATTTAGAATTTAAAATTGTTAAGACTAAAAATCCTTACAAAAAGAAAAGTAAACTTATATTCAAATATTATTAGAGAAACAAAAATCATTTAAGTTCATCATATTTTAATGTTATACAAACTTTTTAATTTTCATAATATCGATCAATTAATTTATTAGAATATTATAGTATATGTTATTTATTTAACTTTTGTATTAATATAAATATAAATAAATAAAATTTGTATCATTTTGTAAATTTTATTTTATTATATATATATCTGTTATAAGTCATTATTATAATAAAAAAATTTTTTTTTAACGATTATAATAATACAAAATTGCTTCAATATTAAAATACATTTCATTTATAATATCAAGAACAGCAGATAATTAACTTGCATTTACAAGTATCTTTGTCATTTTAATATAAAAGTTGCATAATATCAAAAATATTTCTCAGTTGATGACTTAAATCACCTTTTTTTTTGTTAAACGTGTCAAATTGTGAACATTTCTTTATTTGCATACATTTTTCAAATATTTTTCATACTTAATATTTCATTTAATTTATTTAATAAAGTTCATAATTTAATAATGTCTATATCTAATTACAATATAGTAAGATAGCTGATAATACTTAATGCTTCTAATTGCACTTCTTTTTCTTGTCTTTAAAATCAATAATATAAAATATGTTTTATATACATAATTCATAAAACAAATTTCTGCGAATTTACTCAAAAAGAATGATAAAGAAAATAAGGTATCACAATTATGTGATGCAGACAAGAAGCAAAAAGTGGCTGAAGAGGCTTATGAGATGTATTTAGCATATGATCAAATAAGAAAAATAATAAGCGGCGTAAAGTAGCTGAAGAGACTCATGAAGAACTTAAGGTATGTTTGGTAGCTGAAGAGGAGATTCAGCATGCTTGTGCACATAAAAAATATTTATTAAGAAAGTCTAAAAAAACTTTTCAATAATACATTGCAAGACTTTTTAAAAATAGTATAACTCTATACCAAAGACATAATATAGAAGATATTTCAACTTCAGATCAGAAACTTCTACACAAATTTTGTAATATAATTAGTGATTTGAGAAATAATCTTTGTATCATGTGTAATAAGTGATTTCTATCTATTGTACTTGTTAATGAAGAATTTCATCAATGCTGTAAAGTAAAGATTTTCTATTGAAAACAATATAGATCTAGGTGAAAGTAAAACATTTTTTCTTAATATAGACTTGAACTTGATAGACTCACATGTTTTCACTTTTTTCTAGGTGAAGTTCCACAAAACCACTTTTAATCTACAAAGATGGCCAATTTATTTATCATTTATAATAACATTATTTTGTATTAAATACAATAATGAGATAAAAAGCGTTATCATAATGTTATATATTTGTCTAACAAAATTTAGATAAAGGGTAACTTATCGTAGCTAAAATCTTAGATTTAATAGAAGCTAATAATAATATTATAGACTGAATGTTACATTATAATAAGGGATTACATGATACTCATCAATATTAGATGCATTATAGAACTGAATTAATTGATATGATAAAACAGGTGAGATCCTAAGGAATGGTATTCTTCACATTTAGTACAGCTAATATGCATTGGCCAGATCTACACAACCTTATGCCTAATGGAAGAAATACTATAGAAGCAGAATCAAATCAAAATGCTACTAGGTGTCAATATAAAGATCTTATAAATTATCTTCATATTGCTACATGGTTTTTAAAAAGTGATTTAAAGTCTTTTTTGAAAAGATTCTTATATTTAAATGGAAATTAGTTGAGTGATGATATTACTTTAAATGGCAGTATTATAGTAGTATTCATGTATATGATATTGCTAAGAGAAAAGATGCATTTGAAATTGATTGGAAAAAAATGAGTAACAATGAGAAAATAATGAAAAATGTTGTATATTACTTAGATTCTTTAATTATAACAATTAATTCTGATTTAGATGTATCTTCTTCTGATCATCACCCATGTCAAAAGCACCCTAAGGATCTTAATGATGATATAGCAGACTACATTAAGCTAATAAACAAATTACAGCATTATATACATTGTAGTTCCTACTGTTTACGAATTGACAAAAAAACTGATAACAGAAATGCAGATTTAGTTTTCCTAAAGAGTTAACAAATCAAATAACTATTCAAAATAATAATAGTTATCTAGAATTAACAACAGCCAGAATAATCTACTTGTAAATTCATATAATCATATTCAACTTTAGGGATAGAAGGCAAATGTTGATTTGAAGCTCATTCTCACATAACATGCTGCTTTACAGTATATTTCAAAATATGCTAGTAAAGCTGAGCTACAATTTTTGGCTTTTTCAGAAGTTTTAGATCAAACTCTTCATAATGATAATCCAAATGATCTAAGTATTAAAGCATTCCAAAAGTTGCTTATTCATATAATAGGAGAATGTAATTATTCAGCCCAGGAAACTTGCCACCTTCTTCTTCAAATACTACTTTACCATAGTAGTAGAAATTTTGCTAGTTTAAATCTTAATAAAGAGGCAAGTCAGTGGCTTTATGATAGTGAATATAATAAGAACAATAAAGTTAAAAAAACAGATCCCTCACCTTTGCAAAGATATTGCAGTTGATTTACTGAATTGAATGATGTGTCATTTTTTAGATTATATCTGTAATATAAGTTAGTCAGAGGAGAATAGGTAAAATGCAGCAAAGAAAATATTGTATGCATCTGGCTATAATCATATTCAATCAAAAATAATCCTTAATAAGAAGAATTTTGTCACGTAAAAGTTCTCTTACATGTTTGTTATAGAGATATTCTTAGCCTTACAGAGAACCACACACTTTTATGGATAGACTTATATAATCATCATCTTTCAGAAATCAATGATGATTCTAGTGATTTAATTGGACCTGCTATGGATAATCTTGAGGAAGTTGATGGTAATAATTTTGATGATGATGAAGATATTATACAAGAAGAATATGAATCTTGAGCTGATTGGATAATACTGTCTAAAATGATGCCAAATAGACGAAAATGCAATTCAACTAATTCTTTTGGTAACTGAAATATTGATATAAATCATGACTAAATTAGTAAAAGCTGAATACAATTTTGTAAAATTGAAGAAACAGAAAGTTTCATTAAGCAGGCAATTGATGATAGTGATGCAACTCAAATCAGGAATAATCAAATAAATATTAATTGTAAAACCCTAAATAATAAATAAAGAATAATATTTAAAAGAATTGAAAGATATTATATTACTTTAACTTCAAATAAATCTGTAGAACCTTTGTGAATTATTATTATGGGTACTGCTGGAACTGAAAAATCTTATCTAATAAGCATCATCTAAGATAAGCTGTAAGAAAATAGTATTAAACTTGCTCTAATAGACGTTGCAGCTTTTAATATTCAAGGTAGAACTATTCATTCATCACTTTCCATTCTAATATGTAGTACAAATTATAAGCTTGAAGGTGAATCTTTGAAAAAATTACAAAATAGAATAAAAGATATCCAATATATTATCATCAATGAAATGAGCATAGTAAGCTATCACTTTCTTGCTCTAATTGATTTGAGACTGCGTCAAGCATTTTTAAATTATTTCAATCAACACTTTGGTAGCTGATCTATAATCCTTATTGGTAACTTCAGACAACTTCCTCTAGTGTATGATCTTCCCATGTATTCTCAGAATCATTGACCATCAGATTCTATATTTGAGGATGAACGTAATACCTATAGCCAACTCCAAGAAGTTTATAAATTTGAAGCTATATAATGATAAATTAGTAACTTAGATAAACAATGTCAACTCAGAAATCTTTTGTCTCGCTTACATGATGGAGAATCTATACAATCTGATTAGAAATTATTGATAACGTAAATCTTAGAAAAACTGTCAGAACTAAAGCGAAAAAAATTTTCAAATGCTATTAACATTCTTACAATATGAAAAAAAATCGATAGAATTAATGCTAATAAACTTGGATTATTAAACTAACCTGTTGCTAAAATTTGAGCAGTTTATACATGTGACACTAAAGCTTTAAAGGCTGATTCAGATACAGCAAAAGGTCTTGAACCTGAAATATTGTTAGCCAAAAATACATATGTAATGCTTATCTTAAATCTCTGGGTTGCTATTGATCTTGTAAATGTCACAATAGGAACAATAACAAATATATTATACAAAGAGAAACCTGAGCACACATTATTATCAACTGCTATTTTAATTTCCTTGACCAATATCATGGATCAACTCTTACAAACATAGATAAAATTTTAGTTGTACCTATTATTTCTATATGACGTATATGAGAAGGTAAATCTAGCATTTGCTCTCAATTACATCTTCCACTTTCTCTTTCATAATCTATTATAGCTCACAAATCGCAAGGTCTAACTTTACCAAAAGTAGTTATAGATTTTGACAAGAGGGAATTCGCTGCTGATTTATTATTTATAGCAATTTCTCATATTCGTTCTCTCAATGATATTATTTTCAAGCAGTTTGATTTTAGTAGAATTGAACGTATAAAAACTGTAAAAGGTTAAAAGAATGAATAGCAGAAGAAAAAAAATTAGCTAAAATAGAAACGATTTAAATTTCTTGCAAAAAAAATTTTTTGTTTTTCATTATTTGACAAAAGGTTATCTGATCTATAATTATATTATGCAATTTACACTAGTATTATTAGTACAAAGGATTGTTTTATTTTTTATTTTTATTTTTAGTTTATTTTTAGTTTATTTTATATAATCATAATATATTTTTAAAAAAGGAAAATAAACTAATGATTATAACAGGATAAAAATAGGGGTTAAAATAAATTTTATTAAATCATTACAGTAAATAGTCCTTCGTTAATGCTCTAGACAATAATATTTTGATATTTTATTTTAAATCTTTATAAATATAATAAATTATTTATTTATATTTTAATATAATTTTTAATATTTATAGTATATTTTAATGTTATATATTAATTTTTAAAGTATAAATATAATATAAAATCTAAAAGGATAAAATATATTCAAATCTTATATAAAAAAAAGAAAAGAATTAAAATATAGTAAATACAATTTTTTTTAAAGATTTATCATTTTGATAAATTTATACTTAGTAATAACTTTATAAAGCTAATAGCTTAAAATAATAAATATAAACTTTTTTAAAATTTTAACATTTTGATAAATTTATATTTAGTAATAATTTTATTTTCTTTTTAATAGAAGATTAGCTTGAAATCTGCTATTTTACATCAGAAAAAATCATGTAATATTCTAAAAATCCAAAAAAGTAAATTTTATCTTTTAGTAAAATTTGAGTTTAAGTCTCAAAATTAGTTATACAAGTTTCTATTTTATAAAATTTATATAACGTCACATAATTAATTATTATTATTTATATAGATAATCTAAATGTGACAATTACATATAAATATTTTTATTAAATAGATATAAAACTACTAACTTAAATTTATAAGCTATATTTTTAATAATATATATTTTGTTTAATTTTTCTTTATTTTTTTATTTATTTTTACTTTTTTTTATTTTTTATTTTAATATATTTTTAAATTAGTTTCTATTTTATTTATATCTTAAGAAATAGAACTTAATTATTAAAATATTAATATTATTATTATATAACTTATATATAGTCAACTCTTTTTACAATGAATTTTGATATAACAAATTTTTAGTATAAGATAGTGTTAATTTTTCAATAAAAATTACTGTATAGATGGTATACAATTTGAAAATTATTCTGTATGGCAAATTGATAAATTAGATGAATTATCTGTTAAAATAAATTATGACGCATAATT